ATTATTATTATTATTATTATTATGACCTCCCTGCTGTGAAAAATACACAACTTTCTTAATATAATTGTAACTTTTTGCCCTAAAATCATTCAGATTTTGTCCATTATCAGTGAATTTCTGAGTTTGAACTTCCTGATAGACCATGGTTGAATGAAGCAACAGKAAATCAAGTCTTTTAGAAACATCTGAAACATGTCAGACCATAATGTTCCAGCCTAACCCTAACCAGGATGTGACAAGTATTACACTTCATACAGTGTTTAATCAGGTTGTTTTTTCATTGCTTTCTGTTTAAATCAGTTTAAAGTGGTGCTCAGGCTGTTGCACTGACCTRCGCAGGATGCCACCCAGTAGGGAGGCATTGAGGCACTCTGGCGGGGACAGTCTCCTCTTCACCTCAGCGATGGTGACTTTATATTTGGAGGTGGAGCTGAGCAGTGAGAGTCGGCCTGGAACCGAGCAGAACAGGTCTGTGGGGTTCACCACGCATGTTCCCCCTGCAAACACACACCAGGTCAGTGTGCACAAACAGCTGCAGCCCTCATTTTCAAAGCTTAAAGAACCAGTTCCTCCTGCACACWGAGACCGTGATCAATCTTCTCATTAACAGACATATTTAAGAAAAACTCTTGTAGTATAATTTAGATGCTGTAAAATGTCAATAATTTGCTCCTATAATCACGTAAGTTGACATGTGTCAGTTAAAGTGAAATCAAATTCATTTTGTGCAACATTTTGATCCTTTATCATATAATTTAGTTCAGAAATGTGATTGTAGACTTGAACAGCAGCTTGTTGAACTTTATGTTAGTTTTCCACACAACACTGTGTCTTTGGTGAAAAACACAGCTAAAGGCTGCAGACACACCGTTCATATTAAAGGAAATGCAGATTCAGGATCTGGATGTTTGTTTACAACAAACTGATTTCCTTCTTTTCACAAAATACAACAAGACTGATTAACAGAGCAAATACTCAAAAACATTTACAACAGCAACATGAAACCTCAGTTGATTTAACTGACAAACACTGCAGCTGGGTCCATTCAACCAGGGTTTAAGTTCACTTATTTTATTCTTTTTATACTTGTAAAAACTTTGGACACAAACATTTGGAACAAGTGTAAAAAATATCAGCAACACATYTGTGGTGTAGAAAGTGTCAGAACTCATTCTGATGCTCATCATTAAAACCTGCAGCTGAATTAAAACAATTCATTTTGTGCTCAGAATTTATCTGAGAATATTTTAGAAAAACTCTTAAATGTAACTTCATCACTTCTTCTGCACACTGGGTTGAAATAACTTCTACTTCAGTGATAACTGCAGCTGTGTGGATCATTTGTCTGGTTTTTGATTTTATTTATTTATTTATTTATTTATTTAACAGGAAAAGATTATTAAAAATCAAGCCTGACTCAGCATAATTGCTGTTTTACAGCAGGTTCCTGTTCTGCAGCACATAAAACACTCAGAATTACAGCATCACCATTATACACCATAGACACAAAGACACAAAGACACACAAGCATACCAAATGAACCAAATGATTCAAAGAAGAAGAAAACACCAATAAATTGGGAAATCTTGTTGAAAAAAGCAACATGTTTGAGTGCAGCTCTGTTTACATGATGAGAATCTATCAGATGGAAACTTATTGTAAAAAGAAAAACTTTTTATTATCCCAAGGCAGAGGAGCCTGTTTGGATCATGTGTGTTTAAAACAAGCAGGTTGATCCATTTTTTACAAGAAATTCCCTCAAAATAAAATATTTTCATTTAAAAGTTGGTTCTTTCACTTTTTTTACATTTTCTGATCTATAAATGATTTTTAATCCCATTTTCCTCTACAATAAATCCTTCACAGACTTTAAATTCATGTTCAATCAGCTCAAACTTTAATATTAAATGCAGCTTGATTTAAACTATGCACATATATTTATGTTTCAGCTCGGTCTGGATGTAGGAGCTGTTCTTCCAGGAGGGAAAACAAGACATTCTTTAAACAAAAGAAACAGAATCACCAGCAGGCTGATTTCACTGTGTTCCTGCAGCTTGTGAACGTGTGAATAAATGATGGTGAAGGCTGTTTCTCATTATTAATTACACCTGAATCTGCTCCTGAAATACATTCATTTATATAAATATATATATTGACTGTTCTGAGTCGGCTTTTTTAGGATTAAACTTTCAGTGGAACGAGCCAAAAAGCAAGGTTTTCTGTCTGAAGTACTGCAGGCTATATTCTATTATTTATCTGCTTCATTATCAGATGTAACAGCAGGGCGTGTCGTCCTGTTGGAGGAGATGAAACGAAGAAAAAAAAGAAGCCATTTAGGCCAAATGGAAGAAGGCTGCAGGCAAACACTGGTCACAAGTTGTCTCTGAGCAGCTGCGGCCTGTTTCCCTCCTCCTCAGAGTCAGCAGAAATGAGCTGATTCACCCTCACTCACGGCCACAGGAAGCCGGTCAGACCAAACAGCGTCATCCGGGTTCAGCACCTGGACAGCRCCTGGACAGCRCCTGGACAGCGCCTGGACCGGAACTGCAGCCACTCAGGCTGTCAGGTGTGCAGCTCTTCGTTCTGTGTCTATGTGTGACACACGCCGTGCACAGCTGTCTGTCAGGCTCACGCGCTCTGACAGGGGGCGCGCGCGCTCCCTTAAAGCCGCGGGTTCACATCATATTAATTCCCCTAAAAATGTTTTTGATTCAAAGTAGTTTGTATTTTATGTTGCCAAGGGCAATCGAAAAGAGCTGTTGCCGGTAGTGCAGTCAGTGGAGAGCGCGGGCCCAGAGGCGATAACGGTATTTAAGCAACGGAGAGTAGCCTGGGGCTGCGGCGCGAGCGGCGGCGGGATCACACGCAGAATCAAGCGCCTTTTTACCGGTTTGCCACGAAAATTAAAGAAAAAGAGACGAGGGCCAAATGCCATTCTCCTCATATTTTAACAAGCGTGTTTAGAGCTGCAAATAAAGCCCGCCAACGTGTTGACAGGAAGAGAGGGGCGCGTGCGCAGCGTGGAGAGGAAGGAGCGGGGGCGCGCGCCAGACACACCAGCTTGATGTTTGCGGCTGAAGAGGAGAAAGTGGAGCTGATTAAAAACACAGACGACTCCTCCTAAGGAGGATCCACATTTCTGCACTGATTTTCTTTGAAAAAGCTTCAGTGAATATTCATGGCGCCAAAGCCGCAGTCAGAAAGAACAACATGGATCTGATCTGGGCTGGACCCGGAGGGCCCCGCGCCTCATTTACATATCAAAGCGTGCGCCCGAGGCCACAGAAGCTATCGATACGGGAGCGCGAGCTAAAGCAAAGATTATTGGTTGTGATGTTGCAGCGGCTGAGCTCAGGGCCAGATCCAGATACCATTAACCCAAAGTGATGGAGGGGGGATTCCCGCGTCAATCTGAGACCCCCCCCCCCCCCCAAAAAAAAAAAAAAAAAACACCTCGGAGAGAGCTGATGAAAAATTAAACCCGAGATACAGCCTTCCTCTGTGTGTGTGTGTGTGTGTGTGTGTGTGTGTGTGTGTGTGTGTGTGTGTGTGTGTGT